CGGAAGCCACGAAGAGCTCATCTCTGTAGGGGGGACCTTGCGGAGAGGACTGATGAGGCTTTATCCGAATTGAAAGTAAAGTTACTTAGTCTGTTAGCTCCCTGCATAGTCTTTGAGTTCATAAAAATTGTAAACTATAGAGCGAGAGCTTTAATTTCAAAAAAGTGAGGACTTAGCTTTCTGGGAGAAGAGGACTTAGCTTTTGTAAGATGAGAACTTAGCTTTTGTAGGATGAGAACTTAGCTTTTGTAGGATGAGAACTTAGCTTTCTGTAGCGTGTTCCCACAGACGGTGCCAATTGATGTAACCATTTTTGGTCACGTACCATTTTTTGTGATGTATAAATTTTTTTGGCTAAGTACCTCGTCATTTGACCCAGTGGTGACATGCCTTGGTGATGAGCTACTTGGTGGCAAACTCCCTAGTGGAGAACTACTGGTGGCGAGCTCCCTAGTGGAGAGCTACTTGGTGGCGAACTGCTTGGTGGCAAACTCCCTGGTGGAGAACTGCCCGGTGGCGAGCTCCCTGGTGGCGAATTGCTTGGTGGTGAGCTCCCTAGTGGCGAATTGCCTAGGGGCGAGCTGCCTGGTGGCGAACTCCCTGGTGGCGAATTGCCTGGTGGCGAGCTCCTTGGTAGAGAGCTACCTAGTGGCGAACTACCTAGTGACGAATTGCCTAGTGGCAAACTGCCTAGTGGCGAGCTCCCTGGTGGACTCGTCATTTGACCTGCTCCTAGGCGGCCAACAACTCAGAGGATGGTGGAGCTCCCTGGTGCAGCGCAACCCGACTACCCTCCGCGTGAGGTGATTTTCTCTCCTTTGTAGGCGGCGGGAGCTGAGGGACCTACAAGAACTGAATCAGAGGACCCGGGGGTATTTTCCTGACGGGGACTCTCCGATGCCTAAGTTAGCATTCTGATTACAGAGAGCTTGGAGAGAAATGAGAGAGCTAGAGAGCAGGGGTTACCATCCTTTTTTCCCTCTCTCCCCCTTGTCTTTGGGGGTCGGAGTCCTTATATAGTGGTGTCCTATCAAATCAAGCTTTACAGCCTCTATCAAGTCAGGCATAACCGCCTCTGTCTCTCTGCCGTAGCCGTTACTGTCAGAGCTGAGGGGGCGAGTGCAGGCGGCTGCTGCAGAGTACGGCTCTGCCAGTCAAGGGAGAGCTCTCAAGACTGGCAGGCACGGCGCCGCCTAGCGAGAGACGTGGGCACAGGTCTCCGGATTTGTCAGGTATAGTTGTCAGGCAGGAGATCTTCCTGTGATACGCCGAGCTGCCCCTAAGTGCCGAGCTGCTTGTAAGTGCCGAGCTGCCCCTAAGTGGCGAGCTCTTCGTAAGACACCAGGCTGCCTGCAGAGTGGCCAGCTGCCTGTGGCGAGCTGCCTATGCCGAGCTACCTGTAAGTGTCGAGCTGCCCCTAAGTGGCGAGCTCTTCAAAAGACGTCAGGCTTACTGCGGAGTGGCGAGCTGCCTATGCCGATCTGCCCGAGTTGCCCAGTCATCAAGAGGATACACTTGGTTTGCATGAGGTGCCAGGTGTCACAATTTCACTGGAGGGCCAAATCCACCCTCATCAGTACCAAACATAATCAATGTCATTTGGTCGAGTTCAGGTAAGATATCTATCAGAAAAAGAGACATTTCGGCTATGTTTGGTTTGAAGGAAAAGGTAAGGAAAGAAAGAAAAAGGTAGGGAAACCTTTTTTCCTTCTTTTCCCTACATTTTCCTTCAAACCAAACATAATCTATGCCATTGGGTCGGGTTTGGTGCATGCAGCATTACAGCGTCGACACACAATTAATTCAGGTTGGACGAAGGTAGATTTACCACTTAACCTATTCATTGACATCCCTATTTCTGCTCCACCCTTTTTTTGAGTAATCAACGAGTTAAATAAAGTTTTCATGATAAAAGAGTAGTTTAATAATTGATGTGACGGTTTCCGGTCATCTATCATTTTTTCGTGATGTGTCAATTTTTTGGCTAAGTACCTTGTCATCTCGTCTGCTCCCAGTGGCATGTGACTCAGGGGCTGAAGTGGAGCTCCCTGGTGTAGAGCTACCTTAATGAGCTGCCTGGAGGTGAGCCACCTTGATGAGCTGCCTGGTGGTGAGCCACCTTGATGAGCTGCCTGGAGGTGAGCTACCTTGATGAGCTGCCTGGTGGTGAGCCACCTTGATGAGCTACTTGGAAGTGAGCTACCTTGATGAGCTACCTGGTGGTGAGCCACCTTGATGAGCTGTCTAGAGGTGAGATACCTTGAGCTCTGTTGCTCTTTTAGAGGCCTGCAAGGAACCAGATGTCAGAGGACCCGGGGTGGCTAACCCGGCGAGGTCACTCYGATGGCTAAGTTAGCACTTAGTAAAGAGAGCTTGAAGAATGATATTAGAGAATGAGAGAGCTAGAGAGCAGGGGTTACCACCTCTTCCTTCAGCCTCTTTTCACATACCTTTGCCCCTGGGGGGTGAGGTCTTTATATATTGGAGTCCTCATGGGTTAGGTGGAGCAGTTCCTGGATCCCAGTTGTGATGGGACTAGCTTGCGTGTTAAGTGGATGAAATGCCATCAAACTGTAAAACTGTCCATTCTCGTCAGAACCGGGGAGTGGGTGAGCTAATATAGCCGTTACAAGTCACAAACCCATAAAATGCGGGGTACGGTGGTGAGCTCCTCGAGGTTGTTAGGTTGGCACCTGTGTCAGGCCGCCAGGTCGTGCCAGGGCCAGGTCGCGCCAGTCAGGCTGCCAGCTCGTGCCAAGGCCAGGCTGCCAGATCGTGTCAAGGCCAAGCTGCCAGCTCGTGCCTGTGCCAGGCCGCCAGGTCGGGCCTGGGCCAGGTCGCACCAGGGTCAGGCTGCCAGGTCGTGCCAGGGCCAAGCCACCAGGTCACACCTGTGCCAGGCCATGCCTGTGGGACACCATCATCTTAGCAAAGGCAAGTTGTTGCCAAAGTGGTCCCAGGTGTCACCTAATTGTTCTGAGTTGCCAGGCTACATGATGGCGAGATGCCTGTGAGTGTTGCATGATGATGAGCTGCCTAGTGGCGAGCTTCCTGTTAGTGTTGCATGATGGCGAGCTGCCTAGTGGCGAGCTACCTGTAGCGAGCTGCCTATAGCGAACTGCCTGTAGCGAATTACCTGTAGCGAACTGTCTGTAGCGAGCTGCCTATGGCGAGCTGTCTGTGGCGAGCTGCCTAGTTGTCAAGAGGCTGCACTTAATTGTCAAAAGGCTACCAGGTGTCATAATATCATTGGAGGGCCAAATCCACCCTCATCAATAATCATTCAAAATTTTTCAGTGAGACGTTATACATCATACTGAAAAGATAAAAATAGAGTTTTTAAGACTAAATCAAGTGTCATGTTTGATTTTGTTTTATTTGTGTGAAATAAATAGATATTAATAAAAGGATGCCATAAGAATGGAGGAGTGAAATGATATGATCTCCTCTTGACATCGACAAAGATCAAAATATTAAATTATTAATACATGAGTAAGATTGGGGGTATTGTATCCGTATCTAAGGTTATAAGGTCATGGAGACTCATGGATATACCAAAATATACCAGAATACTAGGAGTTTGGGTTTTTTTTAAAGTATATGAAAGTATTGGTCTATTGATTTTGGAGAGAGGTGATGCAAAATATATTCATCAAGTGCAATCATAGTTACAAATAGACTGATGCAAATCTGAACCAGATGCAAAATTGGTATACAATCCATTTCAGATTTTGCGCTGCGAACGAACAGAACTTTAAGGTTTTGTGTTTAGTTGCAGTGCAAATTTATTTGCACTGATGCAAAACTATTGTAATGCAAATAATTTATTTGGTTGCAGTACAAATGAAGAAAAATAAAACCCAAAACATAACAAAGTAAAATCTAAAATAAAACCAAACTAAAATTTACACTTTTTCATTTGCACTCTCATACATTTGTACTAGTGCAATTTTAATTGCAGCCAAACACAGCATAAAAAAATTAGCATATGAAAAAAATAAATAATGATTAAATAACAAAACACATGGATCGAGAGAGATGTTTTCGTTAGCAACTTACCTTTTATCCATCTAATAGAGTAATAGTTACATAACTAATGGTAAACCATTACCATATCTATTCACATTCACATGGATAATCGAGTCCAGTATTCCATCGAGATTTTACTCCTCATCTTTTTACTTGAACCTTGCATAACAAGCAAAGGAAATACGGACAAGTACGGATACACACCATGCAGAATTCTGAATTCCAGCCCCTCTATTAGTAACTGAACTTTGGGGCTATAAAATTTTGATCTGGGCGGATTGGTGATTCTCCCAAGGAAATATGATAGTAGTGATGTCTTCTGGACTGAATTGGTGCAACAGCAAACAACCTCTTGACAATCTATTTCGAAATTCGAACCCAATTTTGAACAAAACTCATAACTAAACCCCCTCTCCTTACGACATTATATATTTGTTGTGGTTGCCTAAGAGCTATGGGATATGTTTGGATGCAGGCCAGACTCTCTTCCCCAGTTCCCCAAGGTTCAGGGCTATACAGCTAAAGTCTAAAGAAGAAAAAAATAGAAAACAAAGATCCCCAAACAGCAATAATATCTTATCCTACGTACATAATCTAATTAAGCAGAGAAGAAAACCCTGAACCCAAACACGCTCAAAATGTTTTTTTTTTTTTCTGGTTTTTAACCCAACTGGCTTCGAAGGAGAAACCTAGGAAGCCCTATCTTATAGCCTCTCGCCCGGACGTCCTCTTGGACCTGCTGCCTATATTCTCTAAAGTTAAACTTTCTGTAAAGCGAGGGCTCTCTGCAACTCTGTATTACAGTGTCGTAGGACGGGCAAAAGAAATATGCTACGGAGAATCTTTGAACTTGTCTGTTGGTCATAACTCTGTGTTGAACACTCTTGTAAACGCCATTGCTCCACGCCTGCATCGTAAGAATATTCTTGGTTCAGCAATTGGAATCCAACTAATGTAAAAGTGTACCAAATGTTCACTTGTGAACTCTGAAAGATTCTAGTATGCTATAATGGTGAAAAGAAATTGAAGTACCTCAAATAAATCACCAATGTTGACGATTAGAGCATCTGGGTTTGGTTTGACAGTGATCCATCTCCCATCTTTCACCAGCTGCAATCCTCCAACTTGATCTTGATACAAGATTGTGAGGAAGTCACTGTCGGTATGTGGCATCAACCCAAAGACCTCGGAAGAAATTGGGCATGGAGGATATCTGTTCATTCGGAGATAGCAAGTGCTGGGCAAGCAATTTTCCGCAAAGAAGTTGGATTTAACACCCAGATTCTCTGCTAGAATTGCAGCTATACTTTGCGCCAACACTGAAACTGTTGCCTCATATTCTTTAATTGTTGAGCTGAAACAAGAACATTTCCATCCATTAAGGCCGTATTTACACAGAAAAGTTGTACCTGACATATATTTGAGTTGGACATGAAGTGTCCAGTTTCCTAACAAAAACTGTTGCAACTCTCACACACAGTCATTAAGTAGTTGGGCCCAGTGACAGGATAACAAACGATGGGCCGGACACGAGAGAAAGTAGTTGGACTGGGCTGGCTGCTGGCACCTGTCGACCTGTCGTCCAGAACTAGAAGCCAGAAGGTGGTTGGGACTTGGGCGCGCGGGTAAGAGTTGCAGAGGTGGCCTTTTTGACAACTGACACCCATCCTTTTAGGCTTTTAGGCTTTTACTAGTCCGAGAACAAACAAGTGAAACAACTGAGTAAACAAGAATGTAATCCAATTCCAGCTTGGAATCGAATCTGTGGAACTCCATGGATGAGACGGGGCCACTTTTCAGAGAGGCTAATGTTTTCCCACGAAGAGAAGACACGTGGTATTCAGTGTCAGAACACTTATCTTCAGCCCATATGGAGGGGCCCATCAAACCCGTCCAACTAGGCCTTGGACTTAGACAAGTGTAGAATAACACACCAAAGACTAGGCCCCGGTGATGCCACAGCACATGATGTTCACGAGAGCAAGACAGGAGTGAGTGTATCTGTGACTTTGTGAGGTGTGGGTACAATTGAGTAGTGCATGCGGTACTACTACAGTAGAGCAGAGTCACATTTGATTTGATAGACTTGTGAAGGGTCCATGCTTGTAAAAAAGAGAATATATTATATATATATAGTAAAGTCTGGTTTATACTTTGTACAGTACTTTTATTGATTTTCCACGTTGAATGCCAGAATTGTATCAATTCCATTGGTGAGTGATCCTGCCGGCCCAGTAGAACTACTGACTTGAAAAACATGTGATATTATATATATAATATTAGGATATGGAACTATGGATGGGCCATTTTGCTGGCTTTGTATCGCTTTGTAAGGCAAAACCTCAATAATTGAGGGGTTTGGGAATTTTCTGGGCTACATGCAGTACAAGAATAACACTCCCTATCCAAATGCTGAAGAGTGAAGCCCACCCACCCATCGATTTTCCTGCTTTGGGTTCACATGTCATCATTAGGGCAATGACACGCCGTTGGATCTGGAATGGATATACCCAGCCAAATCTCTATCAGCATTTGAGTGGGGGGGAAATGGGTTTCCATCCCCATCAGATCTGGGAAGGTGGGCTCCCTGTTCAATCCATTTTGTGCATTTGGGTTTGTAGTGGGTCAGATCTTGGAAGGAAAGTGCTCGTATGATGGGATCCATGCTCTCCCTGAGTTGTATGAGCCAGACTCTTGTTTATATTTTTTTGTTATTAGTTATAAACATAGAATTTACAGGAAGAAAACATCTTATTGCTTCTCATTCTCTTTTAGGCAATAGCAGTAGTGGGCACATGCATATGCATCTGGATATATATGAAATTTCATTATTTAAAAAAAAAAAAAGTAGAATCACTGGAAAGGGATAAGGAGGTACATGAGTGGATATGTAATATGTTTTCCTCATAAATCATAATAATGGAATTGAGAGAGATGCACACCTATCCCTTTTTACTATGAAGAGGATTAAAATTTAAAAATTCAAAAGCGTTGGGATTAGTTTTCACGACATAACGTACACCGGGGGGGGGGGGG